GCTCTTTCACATTTCAAACTCTGGCTCGGAACGATAGACGGCTTCGTTAAACTGCCGGCCACACCCTGGAACAGAAAAACAACACGTATGGCATTTTAACCCACAATCGAATAAATACATCGGCGAGGTGTTGGGATTTAGCGTCATTGTACTCTCTACGGTAACGAGCAGCCGCGGATTTTTCCGAATGTCCGGTAGAATAGCATTGAATAGAATATTTTTCGGTAAAATTCGGTAGAATAGACTGTTTGCATCAATGCTATCTCGCTTTCTGAAGCCATAAGACTTTTCCTTTGATATTTCATCGAGCTTGGATCGATAATGGAATACATACATCCTTTCATGCCGATATATCTCCAATCATAGCCAAACAATTTATCATTACAAAAGTAATATTTAATTGTATGTACGAAATGCAATAATTTTGGCCATCGTTTTGAACAATAAAACACGAAATGTGTAAACGTCAAAGAATGTGTAAACGAATAAAAGACAAATTATTCATCGATATAACAAACGATTAAATTCATAAATGAAGTGCATTAGGATCTAATTTACAATATAACGTTGAGAAATATTTATAAAATTTGTAATTTGAATTAAATAGAAAATTCGAGGTATAGCTGGACTCGATAAGATTATTAAAAAATTTTAATAGCAATTTCCGGAAAAACCGACTTGATTTGAGAAACTACCGATTTGCTTGGTATAACATTGTAATTTACACTCTTTTCACATTTTAAAATGGTGGCGAAGGAAATTAAAAATTGAATGAAATTAGAACGTCCAAGGCAGGAGGGAGTTAAGGAATAAAGGAACTCGCGCATTAAGAGAGTCGCTGGATTGGAAATGTCAACGCGTCAGGTAGTTTCAAGCAAAAGGCTAGGGAAGCATGATATGACCGCGGGGTGGGGCGGGGGAGCAGCAGCTCGCGAGTACTCTAGTTGGTGCCGCGACTGGCATAGACGATAAGTCCAAAAGGATATTAGGTGCAGAATCTTACGTGAGCAATCCGGGGTTGGGGTCGGCTTGGTACCAAGAGTACTGTGGCATGTAGCCGGCGTGATGCGGCGGTGGTGGCGGAGGCGGCGGATGGTGTCCGGGCGTGTGGGGGTGGTGGTGGCTGTGCGGCGGCGCGTGCGGGTGCGGATGGTGCTTCATCTCGCCAGGCCAGGCGGGGGCGGGCGGGCTCTCGTTGTGCTGCGGCGACATCTCGCTCCCGGGGCTCGAGCTGCCGGGGGTGTGGCCCCCGCCGCCGCCCCCCATACCACCAAGGTATCCCGTCGTCGGACTGCCCGATACCGAACTTCCGCCACCTGAAAAATGACATAAGAGGTTCTCTAGTTAATAATCGATGGTCAGTCGATTTGAGGATAAGCGTACTTGTGTGGGGTGGAGTGGGGTGGGACGACAGGTGGATACGAGAGGACAAGAGTCACTTGGCTCCCGTTACCTAGGATTCTCGTTCACTACAAGGGGATGGGGCACGCTTATCCACCCTCGTTTCTCCCTCCTATGCGTTAGCTGATTTTATTAACAATTACTCATTTTGAATTATAACAATAATGCCAATGTTTTATATTATTGTTGGTTGAATACTGTATCCGGCGATTGCTCAACTCTATACTGGACAACACTACTCAATGAATACATTATTCATTGATTGAAAATCAATAGGAAGTTGGAGAAGTAAGTAGTCGTGGCTTCAGCGTTTCTTTATCATTTAGAAACATGTTTTACCGATTAATAATTTAAATAGTATCTTATCTTCGTGTTAAATTACGTTTTGTTGATATTCATTGTCAATTTTTCGACCTCTATAATTTTTAGAAATTTTATATCATTATAAAAAAAAAATCTCTACGAATATCGATGAAAATGTTTAATAATAAACTGGCGATTTGACTATATTTTATTATGTAATTACTACATTCCACTGTTTTATTACTAGAAAATATAGTAATTTTCAGATAATGGCGATCTCGCTGTAGCCTTTTGCTAAATATTGTAATTTTTCTGCACAAATGTCCTCCATGATACACACTCGGGTTAATGCATCATAATAACTTAAATAAAGTCGTTAGCTTCATGTATTACAAATCATAGTTGTAAAGAAATTGCTAATACAATAAAGTTTAATTAACTAATCAATTAGACTTTATTTGTAAAATACTTTGCAACTATACGCGGGTAATTTATATCCGATGTAATACTGATTAACGTATGGCGAAATTATTATTCTTTATTGCATAACGCTTAGCTTATTCGTTATTTTTTATCACGGTAATTTTTAAATTAAACATACACGTGTCGACTTGCCGACATTTTCTGCAATATTTGCCAATATTGCCAATATATAAACATTATGAGTTTGTGCTCTATATGTTTTTATTTATTATTTTTTTAATCGATTCATTGTAAAATGTTTACGGATTGGAAAATTATTGCTCGTGGATGAACAATTTCTTCGAAATCCCCTAATTTTCCTTACTTCTCTCGATCATTTTCCCTAATCCACTTATTTATCCCGTGAATTTAAAAGCGCTAAGAATGTTCGTTCATGCTCTTGTCACTTCAATGGAATGTTGATAAATGTTGTATTAAACTCTCAGCACGTGACTACGCAAACAATTACAATGAAAAATAAAAACGCTCCTGCTACTCACAGTATTGGATTAAAAGGAAAAGCGTCAGAAAGTCTCGCTTATGCTATGTATAACTTGTGAAAATCGGTATACACGAAGACGCGTATCCAACATCGATATATCATTAACACGAGGGGGTTTCCAAACCAAACAAAACGTTTGATAAAAATGATTGAGATACCCTCGTTGTAAAAATCGTGGCAATAAAGTTAAAATTTGTGCGCACCTCCTTGCATAAGTCCTCCGGGCTGTCCGGGTTGCGGCGATGGTCCCCCAGGTAGGGCCGTGCCCCCGGCGAGTAAACTGCCATGCTGTCCACCGCCGCCACCGCCGCCCTGTTGCGCCGCTTTCATCATTTTCTTATACTTGCTCCTTCTGTTTTGGAACCAGATTTTCACCTGCAACAGAACAAGAGGAAAAGCCACGTTAGTCTCGTACGTGATGGGAGGAAAATTTAGAGCGCGAGACACATTGATAGACGAGTATGAGTCATTAGGGTCCGTTTACATTGTCATTGATCGAGCCAATTGATATTCCATCGATTCGGTAATGTTGCTTTGGGCAATATGTCGCTTATGTGGAAGTTTAGGGCCTTTTTGGACTGCGCATCTAATTGAATTTTCCCGGAGTCCGATATTCGGGAGGGGGGGGGCTCATTTTTTGATTTGCCCTTTACACTAAAGAAAATAATTATTAATCGAATCCCTATTAAAATTTCATTGCAATTTCAATGAACGTGATCACGATGTTCTCATTACGTAAGTCCCCGCTCGTGTGTCCGAGCAGAAAAGAATAATAGACGAATGTACGCCTGCGAAATAAAAGTGAGAAGACTTGTCGGCTCTCGACGCTCATTGCGACATTCTGTCAGCGCAATTTTATGATTTTATCACTCACATTGAGGCTTATTATAAATTTCGCATTATTTATGAAACTTAGGTTATCGATGCCGATTAGCCATATGTAATTACGATCACATTTAGATTTGGGCGTGTAACGTAGTTGTCATTCATAGGGAGAAATTTGTGGGAGACGAGCAACTTGAGGCGACTACTCCATCAGCCTATCAAGTGAATTTTATCAAACGATGAATAAACGATCGGAGGTCGGTATATTTTTATTGCTAATTACTCAACTGTTCGATTTCAATTAGAAGGAGAACAATACTTTTATTTATTTTTATTTTTAATTTGGGTGTTCTGCGTTTTTGCCTTCCTCGGACAACTGACAATACAGACACGTACACCGTATATGAAATGTTCACTCGTATTCGTTAAATTCACTACAAAAACCTTTTTTTACTTATAAAAGTAAAATAGCATCTTTAATTAAAAGGAGTATGAGCATTACGAAGCGTGGAAACTTCTTTTTCTCTACACAAAAATGAAAAAAATAAAAAAATATGTATATAGATAGGAAGAAAAAGACGAATAGATGACGTTTATGCAAGCCAAGAAATAGTCTCTTGTCGGTTGCGTAATCGCCCGGGGAGTATTGCGTTCTGGAGAGAGAAGCGCGAGAGCGGCTCTCCTTTCTTTTTTCACCCGCTGATACGTCAATCAAAAGCTTTTACAGTTATTTTAATCAACTAAGTCTGGGGGCACTCTTACTCTCGTCCGACTATTTCGCGAGTGCAAGAGAGAGGCAGTCTAACGAGAGAATGAACAAAAGAGTAATGCAAGAGTTGGAGAAGCGCGTAGAAATGGGAAAAGGGCGATATATAGAGAGATAGAGATAGAAATATATATATATATATATACATAGAGCGAGAGAGAGAGAGAGAGAGAGAGAGAGAGAGAGAGAGAGTGGAAAGATGGAGCGTCATGTCAAAACGAGTTCATTATACGGATACGAAGGGTTCGCTAAATCTCAAAAGAACAGAGCCTTGTATATTATGTATCTAACACTCTATACATATATTTATGTAAATATATAAAGTAATGTATACGGTTGTGCGTGCGTACGTGCGTGCGTGTGTGTACGTGTGCGCGCATGTGGATTAATTATATTTCGACCGAGTTGCATTGTAGAGGCGCGAAGAGTTTGCGTTAATCGAGTCACGACTGCGCGTGTATTTTGATCTTGCGATGCCAAGGATATGCGCAGCCAAAATATTATACTCGCTTCGCTTTTGAATGTAATGTTTACATTACGTTAAATCTGAAGGGTCGTCAGGGTATGCAATTAACACTGCTCATAGATTGCAAAATCTTATCTTATATATATATATATATATATATATATATATATAGACTGAGATGGCCTGAAACTGAAATCGTTGCCCGTGGAAACTCGTTCATTGTCGACGATGAATTTATTAATAAACGAGATCGTGGAGCCGAATGGTTTTTACGACTCGTTCGACTAAATCATTGATCCCGGCGAGAATCGTATTTGGTAAACATTATGATAATATAAAAAAAAATTCCAGAAAATGAGAACGTACGGCGCTGCATATTAACAAACTGGGAACAAGACTATTGGCAAGCGATAAATAACAAAACACGTCGGTCGCTACTTTTACGTTCCTCTTGCGTGCGTCAAAACAAAACAAAACAAAAAAAAAAAAAAAAACAAGAACAAAACAAAACAAAAAAGAGAGAGAGAAGAAAAGTCACAGGCACTAGTTAGTCGAGCAAAAATGGCTCGCTAATCAATCACGTGAAAATTTTAATACCTGCTGATACGCCAATAGGTCAGGTGCTCTTACAGCACAGAGCCGAGTACGAAGACAAGGCGTCTGCTGCATCGAGTAAATCTCTGTCTAATTGCCCGACGAAAAAGAGAGCCGACAAAGGCACCGAGAGAGCCGTTTGGACTTTTTATTTATTCATATTTCAAAGCGCTTTGGCGCCCTGGATTTTTTGCTCGCGCGACGCCTCGTGGCAATGGGCGATTTTTAGCCTTTCAATTAGTGATGACGTATCGCGACATTGACAGCCGCAGCGGCTTGTTCTCGCGCGCATAGGAGACTCATAATTACGGGCAAACGTGAAAGTCAGTAAGAGCGAGCGCATACGGTTCCGCGCAACTAAAATAAAAAACAAAAAACAAAAAACAAAAAAAAAAAAATCAATTTTTCGTTGTTTATGCGCGTGAGAAGCAAAGTTATTAAAGTGAATTACGGCGTGTTGTATTCTTCGAGAGAATTTTAGAAAGTTATAGGCTCGAAACTCTTCCTTTATGATCGATTTAAATTTGCATTCTTCTCTTCTCCTTCCCTTTATAACTGTTGAATCCCCGGTCCACCATGGATCATAGTCCAATTATTGAGTGAAACTAGTGGATTTTATCGGCTCGTTTCGACAAGGATTAATTACTTAAATTGAGGTAGAATTATCACCGACCACGTCCAGTGCTGAAGATTTTCAAATTAACTAAGGAATGAATTCCAAGGACAATATTGGCTTCCGGCAAGACGTCGAATTCATCGGGTAGGATTCGACGTCACTGTCACTTAAATTCAATTCCAAAAACTCGGCTAAGCCAATAGTCAAATTATATAATTTTTCCATTCAATATCTACAGGAGCAGTAGCATCAATTTTCTCACACGAATGCTCTTTAAGTCAATTGCCACGAGAATTCTAAGTCAACGCGCGGCCAACTACAATAATTATTAGCCGTTAGTGTTGTTTTGTATTTTCAGACGAGCGTGGGCGCCAACCAAAAACAGGATGAAAGTTTGACGAGGAGGGGACCAGACTAAGGCGACGTCCCCACGCACGCATATACTCGGCGGGATCTTCCCCTTGGACGTACGCCGGCACCTGCCGAGGCGCAAGAAACGGCGCGATTTCGTATCGCATTTCCGAGAATTAGAATCCTCCACCGTGGTGGCGTCGGGACTCGAGCAAAAAGACACTCCCGACGCGTATATATATGCATATGTGTGTATGTGTGTGTGTGTGTATATATATATATATATATATATATATATATATATATGCTAATGCCCCGTGAAAATTCGTACGATGCACGGAATACATTACATTCGGAGCGTAGTAGAGGCGCAAAAAGTGCCGGCGGAGTAAAAAAACCGGCGGCATGTCTCTCGTTCTCTCTCTCTCTCTCTTGACCTTCGTTCTCTGAAATATCGCAATACCTTCGTGCTAGCCCACTATCGATAATTTAATAACGACGATTGTTTTATGCGCTTCCAAGTGGAGGTGCTCGAGCGACAAAATACGTAATTTATGTCCGTGGAGTGTAAATTCATTGAGTGGGCGACATATATATATATATATATATATATATATATATATATATATAAATATATAAGCTTTGCGTAACTTGTCGTGGACGAGTCACAACTCGGAAGGAAGATGGCTTTCAAAGTTTCGGCCCTTAAAGCTCAAATATCAACTATCGGGCGAGGAGTGAAAAAACGTCGACGCCAATATTTAACGGCGAAACAATGAGTTACGCAGGTCCAAGATTATGTATTCCGTGGGTCATCCGCTCGCGAAATTATCAATGCTAATAAGCCTCGTGACAGAAAGAGAGCAAAAGGAGTGGAGGGCAAAAGGAGAGTCCGGTAGCCATCTTTTGCATACACACGTAAGCGAGGAAGGAGGCGCGGCTTCGGGCGAAATACACTCGCCGCTGTCGATCGCCGCTGATGCATACCGAATGAGCGGCGACGATGGTGGTGACGGCGGCCCTCGCGGCATTAGGCGAAAACATAAAATGCGGGTCGGCTGGGAGAGCCGACGAGCTTAAATATTTATGAGGACGAGAATCTAGGATTTCATCTGCTGGACGAATTGTTGCGTTACCCCGCAAGCGACGCCAAGTACTCAGGGACTTTGCTTTTCAAGCAAGTGCAAATCGCACGCAACGACAAGGTCTTACCAATGGTACCCCTCGACGCTACTGCACTTACAAGCTCTTTACCCCCGTTACATTTGCTAGGAGTACTGTCGCAGTACAATCGATCTTTCAGTGAATTTGGATTTTGGCTCAAGGTAACGGCTTTGGCTGCTGTATCGGTTCATCATAATCCTCTTGCTAATGGCGAATGACGATAATCGCTGTTTAGCCTACCTGTGTGTACACTTATCCATCGACGTCAAACGCCTCATTCACAAGCACGAAAATACACATGGATTCACTTAAGTAGGGGAATTTGTGGAGGGGGTGGAAAGGGCGGGTGGTTGGGGGGGGGGCGATGGCGGTGGTGGTTAAAATACCATAATCAATAATCGTCTTATTGTTACGGGGAAAAAAAAAAAAAAAAAAGCTGCCAACGTACGCAGCAATAAGCTTCAGCCGATCTTGTCATTTTCTCCGCGTGATTTTCATGGCCATTTTGTTTTTTCGCAGCATCCCCTCCGGTCGCCGTAGCTTTACGATAAGACATCGCCGGGCGTGGCGTAGAAAAAGCTGCCGCTGAAAGC